CCCTTATGCATTTCATAACATAAAATAAATAATATAATAAGATAAGTCATACCTGTATGACCTTGAAGTTTTTGAACAACTTCTTTTGTTTGTAAATTCCAAATGTATACCATGTTATCTTCTGATCCAGAAACAATCCACTGAAATGTAAAAAAATTTAATTCATTGATTGTTTTATTTAAATAGTTTTTTACTCTATTAATTATAAAACTGACAAATTAAAGTAGAAATAGTTTGCCAATAAAGAAGAAAGCAATAGATTTTTTAAAAATGTATTAACAGAGATCATTTATGTGGAATGTTAAGGGTTAATTAAATTCACGTGTAGATTTTAAAATAATCTTAGTACCACAAGTGTGCTTAAGCTTTAAAAATTGACTTTTAGCAAAAGTTAACCAAAACTCCAAAAAACAAAGGTTTAAACTACAGAAAATATGAAATTGTTGTTCACTCCATTAATAACTAAAAAATTATTAGAACTTATACAAACCTTGCCGCCGGTGACAGAAAAATTGGCAAATATGCAGTATTTCTCATTACGATGGCTTGTGTAAGTTTTCAGACATTTTCCTTTGCTATAATCCCACAATTTAAGAGTATTATCCAGTGTAGCCGCCAAAATATATTTCCCATTGGGAGAAAATTTAACGAATGATACTGGTGGATTATCGTCATCAATAAGAGTTTTCAAACATTGTCCAGATGCAGTATCCCATATACGGCTATTTAATGATATAATTATACTTTTTAAACTTGAAAAAATCAATAGAAACGATAATTTATAATAAATAAAATTTTTAAGTCAATTTTACCATAATCCATCATAACTGCTGGATACAATTAAGGATCCATCTCTATTGAAATGAACAGCACTTACAGGATCAGAGTGAGCTGGTAATGTTTTTAAACACTTTCCTGTTCTAACATCCCAAATTCTAACACTTTCATCAAACTGGAAAAATAATTTTTTAAAAGGTTTTTTTCATTATTTTTAATTTAATTATAGAAAAAAAAAAAAAAACTTACTGAACCAGAAACAATGAGATTGGATTGAGGATTAAAATTACAACAAAAAACGTAGTTACTATGACCTTTCAGGGTTTTTAAGCACTTAGCCTGAAATATGTTATGTATTAATGCATCGTGATTTATGATTAATATTTAGAAAAAATGATTTTAAAGTCAATACTCACCGAGCTAAGCTCCCATATTTTTAGAGTTTTGTCATCAGAAGCAGAAACTAATAATCGGCTATCACTAGACCACGCTACATCTGAGATTCCTAACTTATGTCCTTGAATAGTTTTTTCAAATTTTCCATCATAAGATCCCCATATTTTAATAAGTTTATCAGCAGCTGAGAATAATAAAATTCGGATTGATATATATATATATATATATATATATATATATATATATATATATATGTATTTTGTGGGTATCAGAACTTTTTTAAACTCAAGGCTACGATATTAAGAATACTCTTAGTTAAAATTTATGAGTCTACGATGATGAACAATTAAAGACGAAAATATAAAAATTCTACGGTATTTATTAATACTTGGTTAGTAATAAAATTTTATTAACTGATCAGATATTAGTTAATCAACGTTTAGTTTGACATCATCGTTTACTTACATGAACTTGCTAGCCATTCTCCGTTCGGACTGAATTTGACTGAAGATACAGCTTTGGTGTGTCCAGCGAGTGTATATTTCAAAGTATAATTGGGTTTCTAATGGATAAAATTGAAATCAAATTAATGTTTGGGAAAATTTAGAACTAAAATTATGAAATTAAAATAATTTTTCTTACAACAGCCGAACTGCCTTTAGTCCCAGTAGAAGGTGTTGATGTTACACTATTTAATGATTGGTGAACTGGAGAGGGTCCAAGAGGTACCATTGTTTAAGGTTAATATCTAAGAACCAAAAAAAAAATTATTAGTTTCATTGCAATTAAAATGCATCCACATATGCATTGGCAATACTTTATGCTCATCATCGTAATTTTTTTCAATTATTGTGAGAATTATTTTAATCAGCTCATTAGTTTGAAAAAAATTAAAAGAATAACTTTCGAATAACTTTGTTCGCTCTCTTCTTTAAAAAAAAATGCTATAACGTAGTTACTAAACATGATAAATTTTGAAACCTTATTATTTACTATCATTCAATATTTCAATTTTTTATTGACAACTATTGACTTTTTTGCAAAATATTGTTAACATCCAAATTAGTAAATTATATAATTTCTAGATAACTCAGAATACAAAATTACATCGATTTTGAAATCATGTTAATGACTTGTATTCTTAATTTTTATATTTGCTGTAAATGAAGGAAACGGATTACTCAATAAATAAAAATACAAAACATGATACAAATTTCGAAAACGATTTAAAAAATCGATTCACATATAATAAAATTCGATTCTTTTCAACTGTCGTAAAACCTATTCGAACCGGTACTAATACTCAATGACAATTGTGAATAACACTTACTAATGTTTATCAACACTTGATGTCTAATTGAAAATCGCTATAAAAATCCATTTAAAGCCTAATAACCAAACCGTTTAGAAACATAATAATACTCGATATTAAAATAAATGCTAATATTTTTAATTTTGTTCAAATTACTGTAGATTTTATAAAAAATTATGTTAAAATTAACTTTTTTCAAAAAAAAAATGTTAACATACAGATGCTTAAGATTAACTCGATTTCAATTTCAAACAATAACATTTTTTTTGATTATATTTAAATACTATTTTACACTAATGGTTCGAAATACCTTTAAAGTTTATAAATTATTGACGGTGAGAAAAACAGTTTTTATTGTGATAAAATACGATAACCTTTTATTTTTAGATGAAATAACGTTGTTTTGAATGTTTTCAAGCTGGTGAACAACATAGTTCTATTTTATTTATGTGTGTGCATATTGTGCATACACGGGCATTGGAAACAACGTAAAAGATTATTGTAAATCAAGCACCGTAAAATCCTTTTTTTTTTTCTCTATAGGTGCATTCGCCTTGATGTTTTAAATACCATACTATGTATATTTGTATATTGTGTATTGTTATGCTTCCATCTAGTGGATGTTATTTTTATTTATTTAAAACTTTACTTACTGTAGTTCTTTCGCCCGGGAGTATTAAAATACTCGGTTTCAGTGCGGGAAAGGAATAATTTTAAATAAAAGAATTCTATTTAGACGTAATTTAATTTTGATCAAAATTATTTAGTTGGTTCCAATTTATTATTCGAGTTGACAAAATATTAAAAGCTTCAAAATATAAAATTGAGGTTTACAATGACGTGATCTTAGCAATCTAATCTCTCGATGAGAAGTGTCGTTACATAGTTTTTCCGAAGATCTTCAAACTCCGTTCTTCTCCCACCATAACTTCCACACATACATCCACTCTAAGGAATATATAAATACATACATTTTCTACTACATATAAATGATCCTTATACACTAACATGTATTTTCTCTATATCTATATATATTTACTTCAGCCGATCGGCCTGAAAGTTGGCCTTCACTTATATATAC